TCGAGATGAGAGCTGTTCTTTCAAAAAGCCTGATTGATCGGCATTGGCAAGACAGGAGCGTGGGACGACGTTTGCTTGAAAGTCGGCCCTCACATTATTCACAAAGTTGTTGGCCTCACCTTCTATGCCCGCCTTTGCCCGGAAGTTCTTGATCGATGTCCAGTTGGTAACACGGCGGGAGACGATTCCAGCAATCCTCTTGAAGTTGTTGATCCATTGTGGTGATGCTTTGAACGTGGACACCAAAGAATAGTCTCTGTTCAAACGCAAAGCAGCCACTCTGATGTCGATGTCGTGAAGTTCATGGCCTTCTTGGAATCGTACTTGAACTTCTTGTTTCAGCAGCTCGATCGATCGTCTTCGATTTATTGCCAAGCATGTTGCGTTCTTCGTCTTGATAACTTTTCTTTGCACCTCCGAAAATGTTCAAAAACAAAAGCTTTTCAAAATTTCTCAAAAGCCATTTTGTTGAGAAAAGATGTATCTTTCGAATGATACAAACTGGATCTCATTTTGTTCAGCCATCATTATTGAAAATCCACTTTGTCCAAATATTTCGGTTATTTATGTTACACTCTAATATATAGGTTCCTGGGTATAAACGGATGTGGACTAGAATTTGGGTTAAGTTAAAGAGAGTGGATCCCTTTTGATATCCCGCCATCTCTAACATACCGACAACCCAACTCAACTCCTCCAACGTATTAGAGGGGAGTCCCTGTGAAATGACCGACCTGTACTGCAGTTGCATCGATCCGGAAGATACGTATCTTTATTTACAGTAATACAATAAGATGAATAGATTAGAAATGAGTATAAGGGAAAGGGGGGACTCCTAAAGAGAGTCTCATTTGTCCTCCTAGGCAATCCTAAGGACCGTCCCTTCTCGGCGATGAAAGGGATAAGTACAGGGGAGATCACATTTACAAAAGAATAGACAAATCATTCAACAATAACAATAGTGACTAAAATACCAGTTTGGCGCGGAGCTGACAGTTTAAAGACAAAATCAAAGAATTATTTTATTTTGTAAAGGTCTGCGTGATGCCCTTTTGCGGTCTTTCTTTTCTTCTGTAAAGACAAAAAACAGTGATGATGCTAAAATATTAATTTTCCTAGAAAATGATCTATCAAACCTTGGCAAAAGCAGGAAGAAAAAGTCCGGGATTAATTCAATTGTTATCTCATCGACGAGCTCACTGATTGAATGGCCGTAAAGTTGGAGGGATAAACAAGATAGAGAAGACGATAAAAAATAGTTGGTGAGAGCAGTGATCGAGCTGGCAAGCATCTGGTTTAAAATTTGAAATTGATATTTAAACGTTTGATTACTTGAACCATCAGTAGTCGATCCGTACGTGTAGCTTTGCCGTCTTGTCTCAGCTGCAATTCTTGCGTAAATTCTTGTGTTAAAGGTGTTTTTAAAAGATCTAATTGTTTTGTTTGTTGTTTTGACAGAATTGTTTTTGGACATGTATTTTAAAAGCGAACATCCTATTCAAGTTTTGAGAAATCCAGAGACCTATCTTATTACCATAGATTATTTTGACAAACCTTTCGGATCTTTCTTGCAGTCACTAAATTCATGGTAAACATGAAAAATGAGAGAACAGGAGCCGAATCATTATTTAAAATATAAGCAACGTCATAGTAATCAAGACCAAAAGAGATAAATAACAGATTCAGTTGAGTGAGTCCGATTCGCAATAGAAATGGAAGAATAAGTTGGGCAAGTGGCCATTTCAGAGTGTATTGATAGTAGAAACCATTGAAAAAACATGCGAAGAAACGGCTGCGAAGTTTAAAAGGTAAGTTATGAGTTTTAAGACCAATACCTGATTGAAATCAACAATTGACAGTAAAGAGCAATATCCAACAAGGGATAGTCAAAACCGATAAATCCTGAGACTGATGAGACAATCTTGGCGAACTTTTTCGAGCATCTGATAATGTTGCTATTGCTTAAGTCTTATTAAGGGACTTACTTCAATCTTCTCAACTCCATATTGCAAAATGTGAGTAAAAGAGTTACAAGCGAGTACGCGAACAAGCAAAGATTCTCGGCAGTTATTAGCAGGCTGTAATGTTTAGATACATATACATAATGATACATAAAAGGTAGTTCAGGAAAGTTCAGGCCAAACCGATCCAAATCAAAGTTTGAAGCTTGATTTGAAGCTTAAAATCTGGCCTTTTAAAAGTGTTGATCCTTGTCTTGTTTGGCAGAGTTCAGGATAAAGTCTGGCTTCTGGCGGATTCAGGGATACCAGGTTTACAGCAAAACCGGTCTAGTCTTGGACTTGCCTGGTCTGGTCTAGCTTTGGCTTAAAAGTTATGATAGAAATTTGGCAATTTATACAATAAGTCTATGGCTTAGTGATGTCAGCAATGCAAAATGTGACAAACCGAATCGGCAGCGAGAGTTTATTGTTTAATATGGCAACTAAAGCGGCAAATAGAGTGATGAAACAGCTCAATAACAAAATCTAAAATTTCCATTTACTTTTCTTCAAACTGACACTTACAACGAGGTCGGTCCACTGAATGATCGGCTCTAATTGGGCAGACAATTCCCAGTCAAAGTAAAGCGGAGCTACATAATAAATGCTCACTTCCGATGCTGCCAGCCATTTATAACCAACTAAAACCAATCTCTTCAAGGATTTTCGAGAAAATTTCTTTATTCAAGAAATTTCTAATATTTCTAACCTGTGAGAATTGCTGTAGCGATGAAAATGATCACAAGAGGGTAAAGGTTTTTCATAGATTCATTGATAGATTTAAGCTTCTGGAAGCAAGCAATTTGCTTCATTGAAATGGAAAATTTTTGTCTAACGCTAGCTTGGATCACTTTGAGGGCATGATTTTTGCTCGACTATCGAAAAAACAAATAATTAAACAAAAGTCAGGTGATGGTAAATTGTAACCTATGGGTGTTTTTTGGTCCAAGGACACAGATTTTATAGGCAAGCGTTGAAAAAAAAACTAATTGGGCATGCTTAGTCGTTGGTTATTTCAAAAGAACAATTTGCAGACTTACGTAGAAGTACAGAAGTCAATTTGTCTTTTAAGTAAAGTAAGTAGAGTGTGCTCTTTGTTAATGAGTTTTCTAAAAGGTGGATAAACTGGAAAGTTACCACAGCCTCTTTTGGAGTTACTCTATCGTAACTTCGATCTATTTGTTTATGATTCCATCCAATGGAATCGAATGAATAGAATAAGATCAAAGAAGAAACATAATCTGAAGGAAAGCTTACGGTAGTTGATTTTGATTCACAGTACTTGGCAGCTTTGCTCTAACCATAAACACGGCTGCTTTGCCGCCTAATGAAAAAGCTTACAAGGAGTCAAACTCTTGCGCGAGTGAGGGGCAAGTGAATACAAGCTCAATTAGCACAACCAAGAAAACGACTCCAATAACTACCCTGGTTCCGATAAAGATCTGTACCAATAATAAGTCGTAAATTTTGGGTAAATAAAGCTTAAGCCAAAGCTAAACCAAGACTTTAATACACAATTTAGTTTGACCCTATTGAACTAGCTGTCAATTCTTTAAGTTAGGGCATTATTGTTCTAAAAAACGAAAACGTCAATACAAACTGGATTTTAAGATGCTGTGCTGGTTCTGTGTTGAGATTTTAAGTAGCTAGGATAGTTAAAAACAGTTTGCACAAAAATGCAATCCATATTTCAGTGGTTCGACTTCGGGTACTAACTTCTGCGCATCGACGGCTTATATAACGGCCAACAAGAAAGACTATTGCTCGAAGATGTGCGGATTTTCCTCGTGCACCGATAATGTCAAGTAAGTGTCAAGTTATCTTGAGTAATTCTAGAATTCCTCGATGTAAATACGATTTTAATTCCAGTTGCCCAATCACTGATTTCGTGATTCGATAAGATTTTCAATCATCTCTAATTTTTTTTGTAAAACAAAGTTCTTTTTTGAAATGAATAAAAGTGTCTTTGAGGCAGTCGTGGATGTAAAATGTATCAGTCATTATTGCCGAACAAACAAACAATCAAAACTAATGCAATTTGAAAAAAAAAATTGCGACAATGAAGTAAAGTTAGAAACTATAACTACCATTTCTTTGTTTCTTTCAAAAAAAGCACTTTCTTTTTCGTTTCTTTTAGGCATTTCGTTTCGCAATAGAATCACCAAGACGGGATTTTCAATCCGAAAGAAAAATCGATCTGCAAAGATAAGCCTTTAGGTTTTTTTGTAATAAACATTCATTACTTATGAAGATTTCGTTTATTTAAATATTGCTAAACTAAATATTTTCGCTAAAACAATCTAATAAAATATGGACGATGAAATCGATGACTCAAAGTTGGAACTCATCGGCGCTGGCGGTTTCTCGAAAGTGTACCGATTAAAGAAATTAAACAAGTAAGTCGTATTCTTGATTTCAAATCCGAATACTTTGCAGTTCTTTTGCTGTAAAATACATTTGGTGTGAAAACGAGAGACAAATCGAGAATTATCGAAGAGAATGCGAAGAGTTGGAGAGGAAAAGACATCCAAACATTGTGAATTTCATCCGAACACACCAAAAGAGTCAACAAGAATTGGGAATTGTGACCGAGTATTGCGAGAAGGGAACACTCAGAGATGGTAAGTTTGTTGAAAAATTGTAGTGGAGATTGTTAGCAATTACATTTATTTTGATTCAATTGTTCGATTAATTTACAAATCTTATTGTAAAACAGTTTAAAACCTAATCTTACAATGTTGTTCTTGTTCACTCAAACTAATCTTGTTAATTAAACCTTTTAGTCATGTTTGACAAAAGGTTAATCTACTCAATCAATACAATCATTTGGTGGGCTGAGGGACTATTCGATGCACTCGCTTTCCTTTCGAGTGAAAACACAATTCATGCAGATATCAAACCAGAAAAGTTGTTGATTAAGATCTTTCCATAATTAACTAGTTTAGCGTCTTTGTTACCAAAGATTTTACGGTAAAGCTGGGTGATTTTGGGACAGCGAGGATGTTGGAGGTGACAAGGGAAAAGACGGAAATGGTAATGACGCAGCGATACGCGAGTCCACCAGTGAGACGAGGGGATGACTCGTTTCAGGAGATTTTACTGGTTTGTTTCATTATTTAAAGAAAACTATCAGAAATGAATTATAACTGAAATCAAAATCAAAAGGGGTTTGATAAGTTTTCCATTTTCAGATGTCCTCACGAAATGATGTTTACAGTTTGGGCTTGGTCATTTGGGAGTTAGTGGAAAGGAAGTAAAGTTTCAAAGGTTTACTTAACTTAACAATTCAATTTTAGAGTAGTTCTTGGAGAATTTGGAGCATTCGGTGCGTTCTCTCATTTAACTTTCTGGTCAATGGTTTCCTCAAAGAAGTTTGAGAAAATTGGTTCACCATCGTGTCCATCAGAATTGCAAGGAATTATTGACAGGTTGGCTACTTTTCTGACACAATCAATTCAATTAAGGTGTATTGATTTCGACTATCAAAAGCGGAAAAAAGCTGAGAATGTGGGGGATGAGCTGAAGGAATTGAAAGCGGTGAGTTGCAAGTTTTAACGATAAATTCTTGAAATTTTTCAGTCGGATCTAACACTGAATACTTTTGATCGACCATTGGAGGAATCCGAGCAAAAAGAACTCATTCGACCGATTGGTTTTGACGGAACGGATCAGAGAATTTCTGTTTATAGAAGCGAATTTTCCTTGAACGATATGTCGGTTAGTTTGGGGGAAAGCGACTCCAAACAATCTTTGGAACAAGAAATAGGACTTAAACCCAGAGAGTTGCCCAAAGGTTTCCTCGGTTCAACGAAAATTCTCAGCTCAAGGGACAAATTTCAATTACATGAACCTTTCCATTACATTAACGACGAGTTGAGGTCAAATTTTGGAGAAAAGTTTACAGGGATGGATACCCTGAAAACAAGAGCCGAAATGATTTCGATGAGTGAAGAGATGGTGAACAGAAAAATGCAAGAACGGGTGCTTTTTCATATTGTCACTTTCGATAGTCATAAATTGACACCAAAGTATGATTCAACGGAGTTGCATCTTGAGAAAATCTTTGAGAATCATTTAACAACTCAATTGATGTGGTATGCGGAAATATTCGGCCGTTTGGTCGTTTTTCAAAAGGAATGGAAGAGACGATTCAGCTACGATGACTACTATCGACAAATTTGCATTCACATTCAGCAATTGGATCGAATGAGAGAGAACATTTTCACAAGGAGAATTTATTTCAGGAGTTATTTTTCGCCACAAACCAGAAAGCAATGGCTTTCTTTGCCTGGGTTGAGTGATTGCATTAGACCTGTACCAAAAGATACGCATTGTTTCATAAGCAAAGATTTGACAGAGGCTAGGGGATTTCAAGGAACTTGGATTAAAGCTGGAGTTGACGAGAAATTTGTGAGACTTAAAAAGAGCTCTACGGTTGTAGTAGGACATGAAGAGATGATTCCAATCGATTGGGAACCGATCGACTATTTTATGGTCATTGAAGGGTTACTCAAAGTGAAAAAGAGTATTGAAGAAACGATTTTGAACCAAATAAGAAGTTGGGTTTCGATAGAAAATCTGCAAACTTTGAAAACGATTGGGCAAGATTTTCCAATACCTGGCTACATTTTCCAGCTCCGAAACCCACCTAGGCCACCGAAATGCAAATGTGAACCGGAGTGTCCGATTCATATTGGAGCTGAATTCTCAGTTAGGTGGTTAGAAGCATTCAAGCAAGTTGATCATCTAGAGAAATTTCTAAAAGCAAATAAAGAATTTGGGTTACATCATTATCAATGCACAGAGAAATCATTGAAAGAATACATTGAACTGTTCAACTATTTCTGTCAATTGCTTGGAGATGATCGATTAAAAGGTTTCCCGGCTTTACCACAAAGACGTTTTATGAAGTTAAATCTGACATTGTCTGAATCATCTGAAAACGAACTTGATTACTTCTATTTTCTACAGTACCCCCGAAAACGTACCCGTTTCGGAAAACCAAAAGATTTTGTGGTTCTCCTTGATCATCCAGGGAATTATCAACAATTTGAGCGAATTCCCTGTTTCGATTATCATTTCAACTTTTTCACTGTTGATCCAGCGGAGTGTTTAAAAGAATTTAGGGATCTTGATCAAAATCCAAAGAAACATTTGATTCAAATCAAACAGGAATGGCTAGAATTTCCACAGCTTTGTCTCTTTTACCGACCACATGCCACCGGGAATATTCCAGCAGATTTTTAACTTCTTCCTTTCTTTCTCTTCCTTGTCTTTCTTATTTCTTCTGTGGTATAGAGCCGGTAGCTCAATGGTAGAACATCTGCCCGGTAAGCAGAAGGTCGAGACTTCAATTCCCCTAGTTTCCAAACTCTCTGACATTCACATTTTTTTCTTTGTTAATTCTTTACTTTACCTAGATGTAAAAATATGAGCTTATATAAATAATAAATCGTATTTTTGAATTTTTGAAAAAACAAAGAATAAAATCAAAAGTGAAAAAGACTTTTGGATTACCTGAGTAACCGTTTTCTACAAAAGATTCCCAAAATTTGATCTTTTCCTAATTATCCAAACTTTCGTTAAAGTTTTGTGCATTCATGAACAGCCAACAAAAACCACACGTAAGCTGATTATAATTTCAGAGTTCCGTCAACATAATTACCATTTTCGCTAGTCCTTGCTCTTATTTTGTTTCCATCACTTCTGTTTTATTTTTATTTTTCAAAGTGTGAACTCAAAGCCTTATTATTTCCATTTATCACGCAAATGAATCGGCGATATTTACTGGAAATTCTTTATCCACTCTTTTTAATCATAGTCTTAACAGGCCAGGAAAGATAAATTGTTGGTATTGCAATATAGTTCGAGACACCGGTCCTTTTATGGGTTGGGGCTGGGGATACAAAACATAGTCGGGATTCGAACCCGCGACCTCTCGCTTACCAGGCACTCTATGAATGAGCTACACCGACACGTATCCCATTGCCGCTAAGGTAGGGCCTTATGCTATACTATATTCATGGACAGCTAAATTGGATACAGTATTCTGAGTTCAAGTCTATTTTAGCATACTGTAACTGATCGAAAGACTTACAATATAGACTGAAAGGTCACGGTAATCTGTAATTTGCACTGAGGGTTACGACATTTAGGGGCAGCCAGTATAGGTCCAGTGTTTGCTTTAGGTTTCGTCTTTGCCGTGAAACTTTTTATGCCCTTCTGCTAGCTCATGGGTCGATGCAACTTCTGCAAGTCTGTATCTAATGGTAAGTTGTTTTACTAATATAAGAACAGGTTTGCTTTTGAATTTTAAAAAAACTTGATTAAAATTTTGACCAATATTTTTGAAAGAACGATTCCAGTTGACTCTACTAGCAGCTTTTGCCAACACAGTTTGTCTCTTTTTTTGCTTGCAAAATCGTCTCTTTTCGAAAATCGTCAAAAATCTGTTAATTCTTGATTGTTTCTGTCGTCTTGTGATGACTCATTACGCTGGGATTCTTGTTGATTCTATAGGTTTTCTATGATTTGTGGGTGGCATTTATAACTTTAAAGTTCAAGCATATCTAAACCTCATTTAGCGGTTTATTGCCAAATCCCAAATGTTCAAACTCATTCTTGTTCGCGCTCTTTTCGGCTTTTCAATATCACACAACGTGACGGCCGCAAGGCGACGGCTTGTGCAAATTGGTCAGTGAGAATCAAAACAAACTTATAAAGCAAGTTTTCGAGTAAAACAAATAAAGCTAAATGGGACTTTTAAAAAGGCTTAAAGGAGAACTGTTGCTTATTTTGGACATTGAGATTGAGATTGAGATGATGATTAAGACAAACTGGGTAACTTGGTCTTTCCTTCAATCGTTTCATCGCCATCTCATTTGATGGACACTTTTTCTCAGAAGCTCAAAGATATCCACTTGCTCAAATGGCTTTCTATACTTTTTTTTGGTTACGGAATTGGATACAAGATTGGATCCGTAAGTGGTAGAAAGTTTTGAAGTGAGCTTGTCGAAGAATGCCAGCAATAGTCAACAATTCATTGAATAGCTCATTGATCATTGACAAAAGATCATTGTTGTTCAGCTGATTTCTTCCTGTCAACCACTCCAATCAAGTTATCGATCGACTTGATAATATACTGGAAGTTAAAGGTATCACTATGAAACTCAAAAAGGCAAAGGAGTGTTTAGAAAAGAAAACACGCTTTTCCCTCACTACAAGCTGAGAAAATTATCATATTACAGGTTAGGCAAAAGAATTTTTAGAGAATTTCTTTGTAGATGCTTGGCTGCAATCTCTTTCCAGTCTATTATTACACAATGGATCCAATCCTTGAGCTTTTCTTCAATGCAACTTGTCCAATTGGGAAATACTTTATCCATCAGATTGCGAGCTTTCTAAAAATGAATGGCGGACATCTTTGGATTGGGTGAGTTGATTGATTTGTTCAAAAAAATTGAGTTTATTGGTTTAACAACTTATTTGTTGATAAGAGCTGATCAAAAGCCGAGAACTTTAACGAATAAAACACCAAAGTAATCGATGAGCTCGACCAGAGTTAAAAGTTCAAGGAAATAAATTTTGTTTAGCTTTGGAAAGTTGTTTTAACGTAAACACACATTTTGGTTATTCGCAGACAATGTTTTCCATTCTATTGGGTTGGGGAGAATGAGTCGGCGCCGAAAATCAAAGAAATTTCTAAAACTTATAGCAGACTTTGTCAAATGATATGCGTTTGATATCTGTAGAAGGGTAACTAATTCTCTACAAAATAATATTTAAATGAGAACTCAAACAGCGCCTCAACTCAACAAAGGATCATTTTTTTCACAAAATCGATAAACTGTCATCTAGAGTAAACGGTTGGAGGGATCTTCCTGAAAATTTGGTAACTTATGTAATTGAGTGTGCTCTATCTTTTTTATATAAACACCAAAGGAGGTTTATGTGGAAGAAACTGTTCAAGCAATGAGTCGGACTTTTTGTCATTTTGATTAGCTGTGTTTGTAAAAAATGAAATCCCATAAAATCCCAAAAAAGAAAAGCTTTGTGGAATCTCTCAAAAGCCATTTTGTAAAGAATTAGTGGACCATTTTGATGAAACAAAACGTGTATTTAAAGAAGGTTTTATGGGTGCAAAAAGTTTCTTTAAATTTCGGCGCCGACTCATTCTCCCCAACCCAATAGATCTGGCTTCAAACAATATCACGTTTAATTTGACAACTTTTGATAATTCAATTTAATAGATTTCTTTGCAATAATCATTTCATCATAAGAAAAGCATCGAAAAACGTTCATCTCTTTTCAAATTTTTGTAGATTTTCCATAGTCGATTGATATACTTTTTCCGGTTAAACCACTCGTTTTCAGGTAAATAATTCAAAGTGAAATATACAAAAATTGACAGAATTGACAAAGAAATCAAAATCAAGATAATTCTTCGAGGAATTTGCGGGGAAAATGCTTGAATATGGTCGTATGCGGTTTGTAAAATGAGAAATATAAGGAAAAGAATTGTTTTAATCCATCCGATCATCGTGTCACCAACATCCCATAATAGTTGTCCAAAGAGGATTTTTGCCTAAAAAGATGGCTACAATTTTGATTCTTGTAGGTATTCTGATGATTTTTTTTTGCTTTAACTTTCATCCAACTCACATTATTGATCTTTTCCTTTGCTTCCTTCTCGGCTTTTTTCATCTCTTTTGCCACAACTTGTGCCTCTTTTGTCGCTTTGTTGTACACAACAATCATCGATTTTTTAAGACGCAAATCATTATCTGAATCCACTTTTTAACTTGAAACTTTTTGAAAACCAACTGTTCCTTGGATTGTGAATGAGATTTGCAAATTTCGGAACGCAGAACCCGAGATCTTTTACTTTTTGATAATCAGCACCAAGCTTTATGTGAGTGCATAAAAACTAAAGTTCAATAAGATTAAAAATCTTTGAATGACACCTTTGAACCTTCTTTGAATGACTCCTAAACTTTGAATGACACAAAAATTTCTCAATTTTACCGTTCCATGCGGTCGGGCAAAGGTGTGGGGCTCTTTGAAGAGACGCGGAGATTTGAGCTTTTTCATCGATCTTTGAATCTGAAACCGATCTTGTAGTGATCTCAGGGAGTGACTTTATGTACTACCATAATAAGCTGGGATTTTATAGCATTCTCACCTTCTTTCGCCACTCAACCATCTTTTCGTATAGTTCTTCAGGACTCAAACGCTCATCCTTCTCATGAGCCCAACAACTGAAAGAAATCTATCGGTTTATCGATCTATTTATTCTATATCTTTCTTAAAACTGTACTTTCCTTAAACTTTGAATGACTATCAATCAAATCAATCCAAATCTTAGAGAATCTCACCCCGAGATCACTTCCTGAATGGATGAATGTGTCTCATCAAGCGGCAATCTTTCCCCATTCCCCACTCTTTCCAACACATCATCGTTATCAATTGCCGGAATTTCAGCATTGTAGTCAAGATATGGATGTCTATAATGAAAAAGTTTTAGGGTGACCTATAATTGTGGAGATGATTTTGTATAATATAGTAAGGCATAAGGCCCTACCTTAGCGGCAATGGGATACGTGTCTATTATTATTAACTATCTCGCTCCCCAAAGTTTGCACTGAGCAGAAAAGGAACTCAAAAATTAAATTTAGACATTACAACAAAACGGGGCTTCAGAGCACAAAGCCAAGAAAGTCCAAGCTTTGTGCAAAATGAAGTTTCCCGATTTTATCTCTTTTTCTGAATGGCTACTCGGCTCGCCAGAGCTCAATCTGATGGATTATTCTGTCTAGTCTAGTGATTTGCACCTAAAATAATGAGCCACTTTGTAGATAACTTGAAATCTCTGCAAACATTCTGAAGACGAGTTGCCACAGAATCATCCCCACACTGTACATGTCATCTCGATGATCGGCGAGGTGAGTTGACTAAATTGATGAATTTTTGGTTTCTCAAGAGTGTAGCAATGCTGTGCAATTAAAAACCTTCAGGTTTTTTCATTGCCCAACCATTCATTCATTATTTCATTTGATTTTTCACAAAATTTGCTTACCGAATTTGGCGCAATGAAGCTGACTGTTCCCGCCAGTTTTACCTCAGTTTTTTCCCAGGCTGAGATGCCGAAATCACAGATGCGAATCTCGCGATATTTGTCGAACATCAGAATACTGAAACTTTGTCAACTCCATCATTTTTCCTGATCTCTCTTGAGAGGCTTGAGATCCCGATGAACGAGCTTTTTCTCTTTCAAGTAGAGCAACACCGAAGCCAATTGCTCCATCCAAACGACGATATGAGCGATGTTGTAAAGTGTGTGCACTTCCCAGCCCATAATCACTATAGAAATTTATTTACAATTCATGTTACTGAAGTTTTTGAGTGATGGTAGTTTTAGTTTTTCAGTGTTTTCAGTAGTAAAAATTCTAGCGTTATATTCTGACTCATTCACAGTAAAAAGGCAAAGTCTGACAGTTCTACAGAAAGCCCAAAGCCACAATGTAAGTAAAAATTCAAGATATGGGTTTAACAATAAGTCTAACTGACATCATTGTGAACTTTGAAACATTCTGATTTATCCAGAACCTTGTGCAAAAGAAAAAAAAAAATTTTCAAAGTCAATCTTACAAAGAAATTACAAAATCACCTTGATAAAGCGTTCCCAAATAGCACAACTCAAGTGCCAAACCTTTCGGCGAATCAGCCTCATCAAAAATGATTCCGAGTATCTGAAAGCTTTGACTACATTTGTAGTTTTTTCAAATTTTACCTCAACAATAAACTTGCAATCTTTGACATGTTTATGCTTATTTGCTTCCTCGAGAATCTCCTCCGGATCTTTCATCATTTTTATGGCTACATCTTGGCTAAATTCTAATCCTAACAAGTGAATTTTGGCAATATTTTCTACAACTTTAGAAAGCTTGATTTTAAAACCTACTTGTTCAACTTATTGTAGGAGACTTCCCCAAAACCGCCAGCCTGAATCTCGAGTTTCTTCTCGAATTCATCTAAGCGGAAATAAAAATTTGAAAGAGCTTCAGGAATCATTTTAGAAAAGTAAATATGAGAATGGAGAGCTTATCAGTAAATCAATTTTTCTCAGCTTTTACCTTAATTTTCACTTCTTTTGAACCATCAAATTGGTTCAAAGTTCACAATGATGTCAGTTCACAATGATGTCAGACTTATCGTTAAACCCATATCTTGAATTTTTGCTTACATTGTGACTTTGGGCTTTCTGTAGAACTGTCAGACTTTGTATTTGACTGCGCACGATCATTCTTCTCATGAGCCCAACAACTGAAAGAAATCTATCGGTTTATCGATCTATTTATTCTCTATATTTCTTAAAATTGTACTTTTCTTAAACTTTGAATGACTATGAATCAAATCAATCGAAGTGTAAGCAAAAATTCAAGATATGGGTTTAACGATAAGTCTAACTGACATCGTTGTGAACTTTGAACCATTCTGATTTATCCAGAACCTTGTACAAAAGAAAAAAAACTCTTCAAAGTCAATCTTACAAAGAAATTACGAAATCACCTTGATGAAGCGTTCCCAAATAGCACAACTCAAGTGCTAAACCTTTTGGTGAATCAGTCTCATCAAAAATGATTCCGAGTATTTGGAGGCTTTGACTACATTTAGAGTTTGTTCAAATCTTACCTCAGCAATAAACTCTTACCTCAACAACAACAATAAACATGTTTATGCTTATTTGCTTCTTGGAGAATCTCCTCCGGATCCTTCATCATTTTTATGGCCACATCTTGGCTAAATTCCAATCTTAACAAGTAAATTTTGGCAATATTTTCTACAACTTTAGAAAGCTTGATTTTAAAACCTACTTGTTCAACTTATTGTAGGAAACTTCTCCAAAACCGCCAGCCTGAATCTCGAGTTTCTTCTCGAATTCATCTAGGCGGAAATGAAAATTTGAAAGAGCTTCAGGAATCATTTTAGAAAAGTAAATAGTAATATAGAGAGCTTGTCAGTAAATCAATTTTTCTCAGCTTTTGCCCTAATCTTCACTTCTTGCGCAAGAATTCTCCCGGTTTGATCTTTTGTTTGTGTTTGAATGCTAACACAGACAGACATTCGACCTCCAGGAAAAGCTTTTCGTGATTTGTCATGGATTTCATCAACAAGTTCACAGAATAAAGTTTGAGATCTTATTGCAACATAAGACACATTAAAATCGTGATTTTGATTTAAAATCGATTTCCTTTATCAGAAGACAATTAAAACTTTTTTGCTGCAAAAACTTTCGAAAGGGTAATGAAGTGGCGACTTTGTGGAGCCACACGTCAGCGAGGAAATGGGTTTCTCTTTTAGAGCTTGTCGTATTTTCTTCATTTCTTTTCTCGATCAAACTAAAATCAGAACAAATTTCTGAAGAAAACTTTGTCAAATACCTGCTCAAATATCACTATTTATTGAATAAATCTTTGGATCTAGGCTAAAAAAATCTCAAGGCAAAATGGTCTCTCATTCTGCTGCAGGCATAGTGGTATCAAATTGTGAGGACACCACCTTAAATCTTTCAAAAATATATCTCTCATTTACAATTACACATCAAAACAGTTGATATTTAATTCTAATAACAGAGAAAATCATTTTGAAATCTGGATATTCATCTTCAATTCATTTATGGCCTCGTTTCCAGCTTGCTCGTCTCAAATCTCATTTCCCACTATCATTCCCTCCAAACGAATTGAAGAGATCTGGATTGAAATACAGATTGATACAAAGGAAGACGAACCTTTGGTACTACAACTAAACAATCGGTTTTATGATAATGGTCAACCCATATCACTTATGGTCATCAAAGAGTAAAGAAAAATCTAAGAAAAAAACAACAAGCAAAAAAGCAAAAGCAAACAAATCAAAGCAGATCAATTCCCTTGTAGATCAAGGGAAATGATGAGTCAAGTCAAGTCAAGATCCCTCCAAGTCAAGATGATATGAGGTGGAAATGATATCTTTTGAAGTAAAGGCTGGAATCAGATTCATCCAAATTTGTCGATAGAGTTTAAAGTGTTTAGTTTTTTGGTTCGTCGAGTCAGAAGTCAGTGATTTCGGGAGAGATGCGTTGTTGGAAAGCATAGTTGCGAGTTGCACTTTAGATTTCAATGTTTAATACTTAAAAGAGAATTTTGATGGTATTGTTTCAAAGAATTGCTTCAAAGTTTCATAGGGTTTTAAAGCAATAAATGCTTGCCTAAATCGTAGCTTTTTTTCCACGAGATGATGGTATTTGATTTTCGAGGAGGATCGGCAAGTAAAATGGAGACAATAGTCGTTTTGAATCGATACTTATTGAATAAACGTTCAATGATATCTTGAAATCACAATTGAAAACGAGAACATGCTTTTGTTTTTGGAAAATTTGCAAATTTTTTTTTGACAAACCTTTTTCTACTCCTTTCAAATCAAAGATTCGGTACTCTTTACTCGAAAAAAGCTTTCAGCTGCTTGAAAAATTGATGTAAAGCTTATTTCAAAAACTTTATCCAGCAGGTGCTGGAAGTGGCATCATTAGACATTGGTTTCATACAACAAATTAAGGTTACACCACAACTTCGATTGTGATTTCACGATGAAAGACTCTCTGAGCACCACAGCAATTGCGGCTTTTCGTCTCTACAATTTGGTCATGATCTCTATCGAGTTGTTTCTGTTTTGCCGGTCTTTATGTGCTATTGACTGAAAAATTGAAAGATGCCCGTGCACATACGATTTATTTAGTCGTTACTCATGTGAGTTAAACTAAAAAGTGCTTCTCTTAAAGAATATATTTTCTAAAACCTGTTAACTTTGGTATATCTAACGTAATCTCTTTATTTTTACTCGATCTTGTTTTTCAGATAATTGTTTACGCAATGGAAGTCGACATTGTGCTAGCAAACCCGATTGGTCATCTCCCGAATGTGGCAATTGTTGTGCAAGGAGCTTGGCTAGATTTACCGATCAACTCTATCATTTTTCTTGTAAGGATGTTCAAGAAAGCTTTCAAAACTCATCAGGTTCTCCTTCTAGGTTCTCCACATGTTTCTTTTCATTAGTGCCTGTATATTGCTATTGCAATGCATTTTCTTTCGTCTCTACTTGATCTGTGGGCAAAGAATTGGGTTAGTTAGAAAAAGAGATCAAAAAGTGACATTGTAAAAATCATCCAGCAAGGAAAAGAAATGAGATTTAGTAAATTTAAGATTTATAAAATGAATCCATTTACTTTTATTACCTACCACAACAATTATTTATTCTCTACAAAAAATACAAAACATGTGAATCAGACAGAACAAAAAAAATCTGTGCGAAAAAGGAAATGAGCTGACAAGAACAACATCCTCAAGGAGATCCATATCTAAAAATGAATCCATTTACTTTTATTACCTACCACAACAATTATTTCCAGTTCATATTCCCTCAAGGAGACCCATTTTCATTATTATCAATTATTTTGGTGGCCTTTTTTAACGCCATTTCTTTCTCATCTCAATGATGAATGTCGATAAAAGCGTTATTCCGATCATTGATCCAGTAAGTGATTTTTGTTTTGTATTGTTGTTGTTATTGTTGCGATTATTGTATAGCTGAAACGTTCAGAGCTATGCAGATCTAATCCCATCAAATGTTCTCTATTTCAATGGTGATCTCAACGTCTACTTCAAATATTTTCTTGGCGTATACGCATTGTATAGTGTCGTTTTCTTCTTTTTTGTGCATATATGTCTGTACAAGTGAGGGGATAAGCAACAAAAAAAAGATTGTTACCTACAAAAAGCCCATGTCAATGCTTTACCTACTCTAACATCCCGACGAATTTTTCAGAATCTCATTCGCACTTGATCACAATCACTCGTACAGTCAACGCACAAAGGATCTTCATCGAAAAGCCATCTATTCCACAACGTTTATGGTGTGTGTTTTTTATTTTTAGAACTTTAGAAAGAGTCGTTTTACAGTTACTTTTTAGGTTTTCCCTCAAATGATCGCAATCAGTACTATCGTTTTATCAATCACTATATTATTTGTATTTCAATTAGCTGAATTTGACGTTAATTTTCCTTTTCGAGGTGATAATTTTAAGAATTCGCTAGTTTTATTCTTGTTTTCAGTAATGGATCGAGTTGTGCCTTGTTTTTTCAACGGCCATTCGGTGGTTATTGGAATGAACACTTTATATCCACGAGTTAAATTGTTAGTGAAAGGATATTATTCGCTGCTTTTTCGAAACGTTCATGTCGATCGCAGCACAACAATGCAAGTGATCGAGAAGAAAGTCGACGTTTTACCCGCAAAGCGGTAGCAGCGTTTATAAAGGATACAGTCGACTCTCTCTATAGCGAAATGGAAGGGACCAAAAAATTTTTCCATTTTTTTAATGCAAAAGTGCTTTTGGCATGCAAATTAATATTCATATTTGGCATATTTTCTTCTTTGAAAGTTCTTCAAAGCCGACCAAGTTATCGTAAAATTCAGAGGTGAACTTATAATTATGTGGAGCAGTGTATATATAAAAGAGCAGTGTCCGTCTGTCCGTCTGTACGGGCTTTTTCTTAGCCGTCTTTGGGCCAAAAAAAACACTGAAATTATTTAAGAAACCTTAAAGTACAATATAGTTGTGCCATTTCAAATCAAAAAAAAAATTAAAAAATCAGGATTTGGTGAGACTAGGGGAATGTAAGAAATATATGTTTATAATTTGATCTATATAATTTCTTTTGATACCGTGTCTCGGTGTGGTTCAATAGTGGTCGTCTTGAAAGCGCACAATTTATCAAACTTTCACTTATTAGGGCAAACTTCGCTCAAACTTCGAACGCTCAAACTGTCAGGTTGCTCAATTCGAGCAGCCTGACACTATCACAATTAATTCAACACTTGCATGTAAAAAAAAGGATGAAAGATAGCAAAAAAAAGGAGAACGAAACTCACTCAAAAGCAAAGCTTAAATAACGGGTTTTTTAAGTATACAAGCTACAACAAACGGACAGCTGAATATGGTCTAGTGACTGATTACGGTAGTTTATCCATCAACTTTGAATTTTAACTTGTGTATTGAATTTTTGACTAACTGCAGAGCAGTGGCAATTCGCCACAGCGAAGTCAAATCCGCCTCGAAGTCGACCGTAGATATATAATTCAGATTGCCCGCTTCAGATTGCGCCACGCCGATACAAATCTTCAGCGATATAAAACCAGGCGCGTTTTTCGGCTGTTTTTTGATATTTGAGCATCATCTTTTTTTTGAACGGAAGATTAATCACTCTTATTGGAAAAGACTTTACTTGTTTTCTCGGAAAGGTCTATCTGCTTTGGCCTTCTAGAAATGAGCAATTACTCACACTTTGATGTTTTCCTGTTCTCTGCGGTTTTTGTGCATGCTTCTAAAAGCGATCATCATTTTTTACAGACACGCCCACTCTCTTTCACCTTTCTCTTTCCCATTATTGTCTATAAAATACTCCGTTCTCTCTTAACGGAACAGTCTTTTTATTGTTGTTGTCAGATGCACTCATTTGTGTATCTTCTTGCTACTGTCTCTATCCTTCGCGAAGCTATTGGCCACGTTTGTCCGAATGGCGGCGATGAAATCACAAATACAGAGACGTGTATCTACTCCGTAAAACAATGTCGGTTTTCTATGAATTGTCTGTTATTTATAGTCACGAAATCAACAAAACTAACTCTAAAAGACTAAACTGAAAGGCTCTAGTTCTAAAAATTAAGATTTCTCCCCCTTTAAAAATCCAGTCAACTTTTTCAGCGCTCACTCATCATGATGCCAGTCATCGTTGCTCGATGATGAGCGGAAAGCTAGCAAAAATCTTAGACGCAAACGCTAACGCATACATTCAAAAGACTATTCTGAAAAGTTTGTGGATCCATTGATTTATTTGAGATTTTACTCTGTTTGCTAGGAATTGGCAACTCACTGTCTTTCATTGGAGTAGAACGAAAACATGGGAACAGATGGACATATTCCGATGGAACACCATTGACCTATCAGAATTGGGATAAAAGTGAGTTCTGTCAATCAGATTCAACAAAAATCTCCTTAGATCAGCCGAATACGTCCAAGAACTCGACGAGGTGTGCTATGATGAGTGCAAAGACGGGAAAATGGCATGCCACTGATTGTCTCGCTTCTCGGCCATACGTTTGCTCAGTGGATGAGGATGGTTAGAAAATTCGAAAAGGTCTAAACGCACAAAAATATTTCAGAAATTCAATGTCCCGATGATTGGTTCTACTTTAAGACAACGAATTATTGTTACTATCTAAAGGTTAGCTAAAATCCTCTTTGAATTGTATTATTGACGAGCCTCAGAATTTCACTCACCCAGACGGCGCTCGTTGGCGACTGTACAACTTCGCAACAGCCGAAAAGGATTGCCAACGAATGGGCGCTCATTTGGCGTCGATTCACTCGAAAGCTGAGAATGATTTTGTCTTTGGTGCGGTTTCCTTTCAGATTTTATGTTCTAATAATGCAAAATCTTTCTAGATTTGGTCACTTCAAACGTGAAAAGTCTCTCGAATGTTGCCCCCGAGTACGACAATAACCCGTGCTACTATCAATCGGCTTGGATTGGTTATTATGGAAATGGAACCCTCGGAACGGGAATTTGGACTGATGTATCCGAAGTCGATTATGTTGAGTCTTCAAGCCCAGAGCCGTTCAATTGGGTGGTAAGTGGAGAGAAGAGCCAGACACAGAGCGGTTGATCCGTTATCTGTACACCATGTTATAATATAATAAGGCCTCATTGCCATTATCATTTCATTATTTCAATATCTTTTCAGACATCCAACGACAAATCGTGTGACCGTAGATGGTGGGGATGGACTGTGCCCGAAATGGGTTTTGCTCGATACGTTTGCAAGATGGCATCGGAGAGTCGAAAAGATAAATGAAAAAAAATTGTACACCAAACCTCTGTACACCAAACCTCTATTCTTTTGTACGAGTAATTTGAATAAAAACTGAGTTTATATACAAGATTTCGTGTAAGATTGAATGGAAAAGTACTTTATTGGATAAAGAAAACTAGAGTACTGTAAATACTTGGAGAGAATAGAAGGGAAATGAGAGATATTTGAATCGAAGAAAATAAAGAAAAAGCAGTTTTTAGCAAAAAATCCAATCCGAATCTTAAAAAAGCAACGAATCTGAAGCTGAATACGATTTAAGTTTAAGTTTTTATAATAATAACGGAATATGTATGGATTTGGATACGCTAACGATTGAAATACTTGAGGAAAGAGCCTAAGGAAGGTCGCAAGATTCGCAACGGATCATCCCGGCCAATTCTGCTTTTTGCATCTCTATAGGAGCTGCCTTCCTTCGCTTCTAACGACAGCCTCATACAACATGGACGCAAAGAAATGGCAATTATTTTTTGTAAGACTATAGGGTTTGTCGAGCTCGCCATTATTGATAATCCATTCAATAATATTGTAAATCGTTTCGTTGTATCCCACGTTCCCCTCGGAGCGCCCCTCTGGTTGAATCGTAGCGCTTCGAGAATCTCCATTCAAGTTCTCTTTCACATCGACTTCTTTCGACGAGCGCTGCACATAGATACCATCCATTTGCTTTTCGAAAGACCAGTAGAACTTTGTCGACTCGATCACAACGTACTCGTGCCAGTCTCCAACAAGACCCGAAAACCCAGCGAGACGATGTTTCCAAATTTTTGCCGTCAGTATTTTCTCATCATTCGTTCCCTCTCGCTTGAAAATATTCGTTAGTTGTTCTTTCTTGTACTCATTTTTTAATGGGTCCAGGATTGTAGCTGATGTAGAACAAAGTGCTCCTCCAATCTCCACCTTTACTGCCACTGAAATTGAAATGATTGGTTCTCACAATCGTTTATGGCAATGAACTCTATGTTTATTGTCTGCTTTTTAGCCGTCTTTGAAATCCTAACACCTAGAAAAGATGCACAAAATTGTTTTTTAGCGAACCAAACAAAACATTGCTCATTCTCATTTCCTCAAAGAGTTCTCAACATGTAACTTAATAAAATCACAAGCCATAGCCTATCTTTTTCTCGGGATCGCCCATAGAACAATATTTTGTCAATAAGAAGCATTTCAACCGTTATGCTGACAAAAACTTACGAGCTCATCTCTAGAAAAGAAACAAACGAATGTTTTGACCCTGACGGCGATACCTAAAATAGATGATTGACATTGTTATTTAGGTCGAAAAGAGATCATTTCGAAGAGACTTATGAAAGTGCTTTATGAAAGTGCTGAAAATGAGAAGCAAAATATAGAAGGCTATCAAAAAGGCTGACTCTGCTAAATGCTAAAAAACCAAAAATAAAAACTCTATTCGAGACTCAAAAACTCTACGAAATCTCAGTCTCTAGCAAAGAAAAGGTCAAGAGATTCTCCTTCCCTCTTTGCGATTGTTGCAACGAGAAGCGAAAAAAAGACCATAGATTTTTCTGTTTAAAGTGTCACATTAAGGAGTTCTTTTTTTTTGAAACGATCCTCGAATGACCAGCAGAACCTGTGATCCCCTTAAACTTTAAAGCACTGCTAATGTCCGTGTGCTGAAAGACGGACTCGCGGAGCTTTCGAGGCAAAGAATCAATTGAGATTGGTGCAGTCATTTTAAAAAAAGTAGAAAATTCGAAGTAATCGAGCAGAATGTTCTCGCGGAGTCCTCTTCTCTCTTATCACACAGCAAATTTCTTTCGACACAAATCTCATTTCTGTCTCTCATTCCAAGCTTCGTAAAAAAGTGAAAGCTGTAATAACGTATAAATATTCATTAGCGGAATTTAATCAAAGCTGATGATTGTTTTTCTTTTTGTAAAATATGAATATGCAATGAGAGCTTCGATCGTTTATCCTTACAAAGCTGCTTTCATTTTTATTTTCACAAAAAACGAACATGCGCTTCATTACCGGGTTATTCCTTTTCATGAGTTAGGACGAAATTGTTTTCTGTTTATCGTCTCTTTTTGTGAAGCAATTAAACATGTGGCCTTCAAAATAGCGAATGAATGTGCCTTTTTGAACAAAATCATTAGCCAATACAAGAACGAGTCTCTCAGAAAACTTCTCAAAGGAATTTCCACGAAACTTGATAAAAGACACAATTGATCAAAATATTTTATTTGTCATTTGATGAGTAATTCGAATCTGGCTAAAGTTTGCTTGGGAATCTCCATCAGAATTTCAAAAAGATTAACCTAGCCTAGCCTAAGGATTAGCACTAAATTGCATTTTTTGGGGATATAAAAGGAGGTCGTTTCACTTTCTTTCCATTTTCTACAATCGGCAAACAACATAGGAACAACAACGATAAAAATAATCCAAAATTTGATTGTTTTTTTCTTGTCATTGCACGCTTTTTACTTTTGAACTGACTATGAGAATCGTCTCAGTTTTGCTTTCATTTGCACTTTCATTTCCAATGTCTACTCATTTCACTTGAATAAAACTCGAATTGACAGTTTGCAAAAAGTTTTAAAGCTTTAATACGCATAATAAACAAGTGCCAATAAAAGAGAAGCAAGACCAAACAAAGAAGAAGCTCCAGACTTCGGCTCATTAATGTTGTATTGAAGCAAGAAGCCTTGAGAACCAGTGACAGTGTGCCAATCGACCTAATCGTCATAAATGATTGATTTATAGTGTATGCTAGTAAACTAGTTTGTAATTTCTTTAACTTGACAAAATAGAAAAACTACATTGCTGTTAAAAACAAACTTGCAAAATGTTTCCATCGGCGACCAAATGACCTCCTGATGGAGAGTCTCTATCACTAAAATGGAAGTAAATGTCTTTTCTGTGTTTTGAAAGCAGAAACACACACTGTCTGGTGCACTGAATTTCTCAACTCCTTGATAATAAGATACCAAACGTTATCAAACATAACAAAATGAAGGATTTAGTGCGCCAGGAAGGGTGTGTTTAAGCATAAAGTTCCATAAAAGAGCAAGATGTTTACATAATGAGCGAATTTGCCCCTTTCGTTCCCGTAATTGTGATATTCAAAACTCCTTTCGTGTTCGCATAGAAACCCATATTTGGATTGAGGATGTTTCCCTCGATACTAGCACTTGGATTACCTGAATTTCTCAATGAAAATTATTATTTCAAAATTACAAATTTTTGCAACAGTTAGATAGATTAGAATCTTAAAAACAAACAGAAATGAGTTTCACTATTTTGACGACTGAGGCCAATGTAGCCTTGCGAGTTCTCGTAGATTCCCGGATACTCGGGACTCATCAAGAAGCCGGCAGAACCAATGGACAAGTTTTCGATTGTATCTGAAATATCATGCTGACTTATCATACAGTAGCGGACATTAACTTACGATATTTTTTCTTCTTATCATAATTTTTTTTCTAAACACGCAAATGAGCTAAAAATCAAACTAATTGTGTAAAAACAATTGTATTTTGATATCCTGAGTTCAAAAACTTAATAGCATTAAAAAAAATTCTTTTGGAACAAATTTATTAAAACTCGCGACGACATTAACTTACGATATTTTGAAAAAACAAGCTCCAACCAATAAAGCAAAAAAAATTAACAACATCTAACCAATAAATATTGAGTAAAAACGTTAATACTTTGTTGGAAAACCTTTGGCATCAATTACGGCTTTACAGCGACGTTGCATTGACGCGATGAGATTATCGATCGTTACTTGGGGGATCTCGCTCCATTTCTTGACAAGAAGATCAAATTTTTCCTTTGAATTTTTCGTTTTAAACCCTTTGCAGCTTCTTTCGAGTACGTTCCATAAATGTTCAATCGGATTCTGGTCCGGACTTTGACTTGGCCACTTCATTAATTGAATTCCTTGTTGAGTGAACCATTGGGAAACTCGATGTGCAGTATGCTTTGGGTCGTTGTCTTGTTGATAGATGAAGTTTGGTGGCATAAAACGAGTCACACTTGGAAGCATATGGTTTTGCAAGATGTCTAAGTAAACATCTTGATCCATAATGCCGTTTATGCGCTTCAATGCCACCAATCCGTGCGACGAGAAGCCTCCCCATACAGTTACACTACCACCTCCATGTTTCACAGTCGGCAAAATATATTTGGGATCAAATTTTTTATTTGGAGGACGTCGTACAAAGTGCATACCATCAGATCCAAACAAATTGAACTTACTTTCGTCAGTAAAAAGTACATTTGCCCATTGTTGTGGGGTCCAGGTAATGATCCTGAGCGAATTTCACCCGAAGCTTGCGATTCTTGAGAGAAATTAACGGTTTGTGAGCCGGGCGTCGTCCGAATACCTTTGCCTAGTTCAGTCGGCGCTGTACTGTTCGAGGAGAGATTGTTTCCTTCACTCGTTGTGGCAGCTCTGCATGAATATCGACTGCCGTCTTCATTGGATCCATCTTGGAGAGCTCAAGAATTCGATTATCATCTCGTGGAGTGGTCTTCCGAAGCTGTCCTTTGTTCTTCTTCGCAGCAGTAGATCCAGTTTGTCGATAACGAGCCAAAATAGACGAGACAGTACTCTGGGTTATCGATAAAAGTTGGGCGATCGTCTCTTGTTTGATCTGTTGCTGGTGAAGTCGCAGCACACCCTCCCGTTTCTCCGTTGACACCTGTTTTCTTCTTCCCATCTCTAAAAATGAAAATAAATAAAGATTAAATTATAAACAAACAAAAAATAAAGTATAGCAAATCAACATAACAAAAATTAATTCGTTTTTTCAAAATATCGTAGGTTAATGTCGTCGCGAGTTTTAATAAATTGGTTCCAAAAGAATTTTTTTTTAATGCTATTAAGTTTTTGAACTCAGAATATCAAAATACAATTGTTTTTACACAATTAGTTTGATTTTTAGCTCATTTGCGTGTTTAGAAAAAAAATTATGATAAGAAGAAAAAATATCGTAAGTTAATGTCCGCTACTGTACATCAATTTAGGCTACTGTGTTAGTAACTCATTTACTTAGTTAGATAGTATGATGACCTATTTACAATTAGTTTGGTAGTATGCTTATCAACTGGTTGATTATCAGCTCTTGGCTAAATCGCTCAAAAGTTCTCAAAAAAAACTCAAGCCGGATCAACAAAATGCAAAGTTATTCCTGTACCCATTAGGTGAATAAAGAAGTATGTACGTTTAGTTTTAAATCTGGATTTTCAACAATATCTAAGTTTCAACGAACCACTCATTTGAGCAATATCGGCTGAAAAGGCGCAATTTGGTGGCACAATGAGAGTGGCCGAGGCAGACCGGATAGCTGATCGGATAAATGTTTTTGAAGTTGTCGAGGATGGGCTGAAATTTTTTTGTTATATTGAATTCATATATCTAAAGCAAGAGTATTAGGTGGACTTGAAGCGAACTTGAAATTGAAGAGCTTCATTCTATCACGGATCGATGGTGGCGGGATTCCCGAGACGAACAACTCGACATTGCAGGTGTCATCACCAGTCTAAAATCTCGGATCAAGTGACTGGGATTCATACAATTACCACTGTAACATTTCCAAGAAACATGGCGACAAGGGAAAATCTGGTGAAAGTGAGCGCTTGGGTGTTGTTCTTTGATGAAATCATGATATTGGTTGTTCCGTTTTGAGCCACATTCAACAGAGTATAATCGGTCAGACCCGGATAATCGGATTGAGCTATAAAAGGCTGAGTTTGCAGATTTTTAATGAACTGAAAAATAGAAAGCAGTGCACTTTGTGCTTGAGAATGTAAAGACACTCTTTCTGGTGCAATAAAGCTCTTCATTTTTGCCCCAGTTGCAGAAAAATGAAGGATTGGCTACACTAGAAGGCTACACTGTTTCTATAAATTTTGAGCTATAAAGACAACACCAGTGCTTCAAGTCATAATAATAATACTTCTAGGCTAACTCTAGGTATAATAATACTTCAAAATTTACTCGTGTAACTCGTAAAAGCAGCGATGTATTGAGTCGGGGACAAGTTTATGGTGTTCGGTGTGATCTGGACGGAATCCTGGAACACTTGCGGTCCTTTCGTTAATGTGGATAGACTAAAGATTGGTATGCTATTGAATCTAGATCGATTTCTACCTGATATTTTGTTTTCCATTGTAGAAATAGATCTCTTGAACGAAATTGATTATCTTCACATTCACTTGAATAGTTGAACCGGTGACGATTCTGTTAGACTAAACGGTGACTTGGTTTTGGATTGATCTTCGAATAATAATCTTATTTTGCTTGTAAACTATAAAACCCTCACAAATGGATCATTCCGTGAATCGAAAATGACTGGATCATGAGCAGCAGACATGTAATAAATCGTCGGTTTATCATATGCCCATTTCAACAAAAATCCTTTTCTCTCATCACCACCAGGCACCCAGTTTACCTGAAAATTTGGTTTTTGATTCAAAACTACCTTGTTATTTGGTAATAGCTTTAACTAGAAGTGATCTAAAAACAATTTATCTTTTGAAAATTTTAACCTTCAGACTATGCCCGATTCCATCGGGAGGAGCAGGGGAAGTTGAGGTGCTAAATTGAGGTGCTAAATTTTATATTCAAACATTTTCACACATAACGGTTAGCATGCATAGTTAAGAGACAATTTCCATTTAGGCTAAACTATAGTAAACCTTGGACCACAGTTCTATAACGGATCTAAACAAAATTATGTTTACCTATTCCAATCGCTGGTCACATTTCCTTTTTCGAGAACCTGCACCCCCAGAGATCCGCCAGTTCCAGCGTTGACTTGCACGTAAGTTGTTCGGATCGAATAAGTGCTTGGATCGGTGGCTGAAAATCTTTAGTTTGTACAAAATAAAACTCAAATATAGCATAATATTGATTGTTTAATGCTAAACCCACTATCAAACGTGAGCTGAAACGGTTTGACGGCTTCTTTGCGACTGTACTTCAATCCCGGATAGTCACAGCTGACTACAGAGCTCTGCGTGTCTGTTGCTGATGTGAAGCTGCGAGTGCCTGGAAATAACTACATTATATGGCTATAATATTCATAGATAGTTTTAAGACTAATGTTCAAACGTTTCCAACCTGGGACATAGTTGATCAAGGAAAAAGTGGCCGCACAGCTGGTATTTACAAAAAATGTGTACGAGGCAGCGGAAAGAGTTGGCCAGAGATAGTTTGAGCGACTGAAGATGAAATGCGAAGTTGAAATCAGTCTAGTTGCTTTACCTGACACTGTCGATTGTATAGAGATTCGGGTTGTAGCTGGGAGCCGCTCCAGCATACAATGTCATTGCACAGTTGTCTCTCTGAAAAGAACTTAAGTTTTAGAAACTTATGAAAGACTCAAAAAGTAAACTTTACGAGTAATTTAAGTGCACTAAGTTCTTTGATTTTTTTCACCAAGCCTCAAAAAATTTAGTCTAGAACGATTGTAGACAAAGTATGACTAGTTTATATCAACCATGTCCTTGAATTCACATTAAAACACTTACAATTTGAACTTGTTGCAGATCAAAATCATAACACGCGTCTTTTGAATACTTTTGATTGATAATTGTGATCATCGCCGCCGAAGATTGACTCGCTTCAATCACATAAAATGGAGGAATTTTCTCCAGACTCTTTCTTGAGACACTTTCTCCAGTGAACAGGAACAATTGATAGTTATTGAGTCCAGTTGAATCAGCTTTATCATCTAAAATTTGTTGAGATCAGTTTTCTAATGTAATCTCTACTCAATCACCTCCAGGATAGAGCACAAACGACAAGTAGAAGTTGTTGGTGGAATTGTCCAGCAACTTCAATCCAACCGGTCCAGGAACTCGTAAATAACCTTGACGTTGCAAATCGAGTGCACTGAAAAACAAAGAAATTGTTTTTAAGATGATTAAGGATAACCTAAAAGCGAGATTCGCTGAGGTGATCAAAAAGAAAGTTTTGTTGGGCTCAAGGAAAAGGCCGCTGATTTGGACGATACCATTTGTTGGCAAATTGACAATGACTGTTGTCTAAAGAAATATTACTGGATCTAAAAAATAGAACAAACTTTTGAACAAATTTAAAATCTTTAAAAAGAAAACTGGATTAATCGATTCTACAGTGTTTGAGGCTAAAAATCATCGGATTTCAAGTATTTTTGGAAAATTTTAGTTTATTTTCATTAGTTCAACAATACAGATTTTTTTCATTGAAATCACTTCAAAATTTACGTTTTAAATAAGCTTTTTTTTCATACTCACATTCACATCCAAATCCTGTCCATACAAAATAAACGACGGATTCGTTGCATCCAAATCATAAGTAACAGGAGCACCTAAATTCCCTCAAATCCTGTGATTAGAATAGACCAAATACCTTCACTCAATAAACATTTCAAAAGAAATAACCCTGCAATCAATAAGAATTTCATCGAAATTTCAGAGTTTGAAATAGAAAAGGCCTAGACTGAATTTTCGCCATTTCTTTTCCCTTTTCAAAGGCTACGAAGCTTTCTTATCAAAGTGAATGATGAAAAGGAAAGCGATCTGTGGTTCCGGTGACTCAACTTTGTGGTTTTATGCTTACAATGTATTTTCTTGTTTTGTTGAGCTTCGTACAATTTTTAATGGCCAAGTCAGCAAGATCAGGATCAGACCAGAAGCCAGGTTCAGATCTAGTTTCTGGTCAACCAAATAGACCTGGCTCACTCTGGCCTGGCTTACAGGTCCACGACTTAATTGAAACACTGCTGCTGATGCTAAAAATTCTGAGATTACAGTGTTTTAAATTGTTCCTAACTCTGCTTAAAACAGTCAACCTGAATAGCAAGCAAGGAAACGCTCAACATTTGGATCACATCAAACTCCTAAACTCAAAAATTACAAAACTTTTCAATTTTCCTTTTCCCCACTTTTCCCCATGGGGCATTCAATAGCATACTTAATAGCAACATTTTTTTATATTGCTTGTTGCATAAACAGTTGTTGCTATTGCTGCATTCAGCAGCAATAGCAACAACTGTTTATCACAAACAACTTCTTCTTAAAGTATTAGGTTGTCCAATAAGTAATGAGTGTTTTGACACGATTTTCAAAATATCACAAAATTAACAAAAGAAAACTTTATTAATCGATATATTCTCCACAACAAGCAACAACATTTCTCCATCGTCCGAGCAAAGAGTGAAGTCCGTCATAATAGAATGAAGCTGGTTTCGATGAGAAGAAATCGTCGAGCCATTTTTGCACCTCGTCAACACTTTTGAACTTGTGTTCTCCAAGAGCGTGCGCCATCGAACGGAACAAATGGAAATCAGATGGAGCCAGGTCTGGACTATACGGCGGATGTGGGACAGTCGACCATCCAAGCTTCTCAATCTTCTGCTGTGCGATTTTTGCAATATGCGGACGAGCATTGTCAAACTGCGGTTTAATCATCGAAGTGTCCTCTCCTTTACGACAAAGAGCTTGCTGCACTCTTTCCAATTGTTGAGAGCATTGATGCGCGGACAACAAACTTTTTGCCTTTCATCTGCAAAACAACATATCTATCATAAAACAAAGGCAAATCAATAAAATAATATATAAAAATAAACACAAGATGCTGATGATTAAAAAGAGCATATATTTGCTCGAAGCGATTTCGCAATGGTTTCGAAATAAGTAACACGCATTACTTATTGGACAACCTAATATTTAACTAAAACTAAAAAATTTTCACAGAAAGAGCATTAGATCTTATCAAATTCATTTTTCTCAATATTCTTCGTTATCTGTAATGTTTATATTAATAGATTCCTCGTTGATGCGTAGATTGAAAGTCATTTTTAGTTTCTTCGGCCTTTCTTCGACGATCGCGTCCTCTCTTGGTTTCTCGTATGTCAACTGCGGAACCAATTGTCCTCTAAAAAATTCAATATCCTTAATAAAGTTTCCTTTAATAATAGACTTGCCTAAATGCTTAAGATCACTTTAAATAACTTTCATACAAGGCAACTTATTGACAAAGTTTTATCATAAAATTATTCACTCGGTTTCCCTCCATTTCAGAAAAAAATGGAGATCCACCTCTTTCGTCAAACGAAGAGTTAACCAGGAGTCGCCTTCTCGATTCTAAATCATTTTTTGTTATTTTATTTTTAATTTTATTTATTTGCATATCATTTAGATTTAAAACTCACATTAGCAATTTTCTCCAAGAGATTCTGGCTTCAAAACCCACGATAGCTGATCTTAAACTTCTCAGAGCAATTGGGAGGGATATTCACAGTGGCCTAAAGAACAGCTAAATATATTATGGTTTTAAAACAGAACAGAAATTCAAACATATTTCTATTGGGTTGGTGAATTGAAAACTGCCGGCTATTGTCATATGTGACAGTTTGAGCACTTTCTTCAAAAGAAACCCATTTTGGTGTCAATAGAAGTGTTGTAGAGAATCAAAAATGAAGCTTATATCCAAATTTTCAGAACGATTCAAAAACTAGTTTTCAAGAAATGCCAAATTTACGAATTTTCACAAAACTTGCATTTTAAGCGAAACTACTAAGTGTATCTTTTTGGAAATTTGGCTATAAGCCTAATTTTTGATTCTCTACAACTTTTCTATTGACACCAAAATGGGTTTCTTTTGAAGAAAGTGCTCAAACTGGGACGTCTCTAGTCCTCGATTTTTGAGTCTCACACTTGTCTCACACACAAACCAAAATCCTACTACGAAAGAGGAATCCGCAAATTGCCTGTAAAATGGGCAGAAGTCGTCAATAATAATGGAGATTATTTGGAATGAATTGATGGTTTTATGTTGAATAAATTTTAGTTCAAAGTCCCGCGGTTTTCAATTCACCAACCCAATATTTGAGATTTCTTAGCTAAAGTTATCTAATATAACTTGATTAAACATTGTTGCTTAGTTTACTAATTCAAATAAGAATTTTAGACTACAATAATAGTTTTCTATCACTTTTTTTAGGTAATATTCAAGCAAACAAAAGTTCAACCCTTACAAATATTGGATGCACTTCCAGGTTCGACCACAAGCCGTGCACAACTCGAATGCCAGACTTCTTTGGCTCGATGCGCGAGTATTTGACAACGAGATTTGACTGCATTTGGTTCCAAATTTTAATCGATGCCATCTTTCCATCCCATAAACCGGAAACTAAATACTTGATGGGTAAATAACATTTCTCAATAAGAATTCTGATTTTACCATCCGAAAAAGCTCACCTTTAAAGTTGGGATCGGAGTTTTCGAACGGGATTTTCTTTGCATTTGATCTCGGTTTTTCGCCAAATGTTTGGCAAAAATGTTGGGATAGATTTCAAAGAATTGAAGCTGTGGCCAGATAGGATTCAAAGGTTTCTCCGACTTCTTCTTGATTTAGCTCATTATCAGAGAAAGAAATAAAGAAACGATCATAAACAATGACTTCTTCCAATAGCTTTTGAATATTTTCGAATTTCATTCAAATCCCCATGAGAAATGTGATGAAGTTTTGTCTGAAAATCGTCTCGATATGCTCGAAATGATTCACAACTTTCTGTTTTGTTAAATAGCGGCCAAAAATTGACGTTGATCATTGTATGGATCCGCTTTTTGTCTTCTTTCTCGTCCATCTCGAACATCTACTCGATCTCCTTTTTGATCAACACGAAACGAATTCTTGATATTCAATTCACAAAATGTAATGGTAAAAATCGAGTCTTCTTTCTCAATTCGAATTCGATTAAGGTGTTTCGGCATGAGTCCCGAGTTAAAGATTTGATTTCAAAGAAATTAAGTTGTTTGAATAACTTTGTCTCCTTGAATATCCAAATAATCAATGATCAACAAGAGCAATTCATTAGCCAATATAAAGATGGGAAACATTTTTGAATGGAATGAGAACGGGTTGTGGAAATAATTGTTGGAAGGATTTGAATTCGAAATCGATTTGCTTTTTTTGTGAGTTTTTAACAGAGAGAGTCACCGAGCTGGTTTAGTTGAACCCAAAGCACCCAAATTGGGTATTATTTTCTTGTACCGATAGTTGCATGTTCCTTGAAATCCACAAATTTATAACTTTTTGTAGAGTTGAGCAAATTTGAAGATTTTTGTATCAAAATGTTCGTGAGAGTCTCTAGAATAAAAATTATCCCCTTTTTTTTGTTCTAGACCCTGATTGTCGAGTTACGAGCCCCAAATTGCAGGGTACCACAAAATTTCCCATACAAAATGACCAAAAAACCGCTAAAACTCAATTTAAAAAATTTCTGTCAAAGGGATTTGAAAAATTCCTTCAGATTCGGAATCAGCACAATTTTCCGCATCTAAAAAGGTACTCCCGGAAAAATCCGATAGAAAACGCATTTTCGCGCCGATGTGCAGGTGTGCATACGAAAATCTCAAGGTCGTGAATATCAGTCGAAAACAGGGATTTTTCGGTTATTAGTGGAACGCCACATTGCAAAAAAAGCGAAGATGAGCACTTGAAAATATTGTTGAAGATTTCTTGATGTTCCAACTGTTCCAACTTAGCATCGATTTGAGATATGCGACTTGGCACAGAAAAGCCACCTTGAATTTCTAAGGGATACGTGTTTTTCCGTTTTACTCCATAGCATCCAGTTTTCGAGAAAAATGCTTTTGATGTTTGGGCACTTTTGGAAAAAAGGCGCTGCCACGGTATGGGACCGAGTTACTTCTTCTCCGAGAAGTGATCGAATAGTGTGAACGGGTAGTGCGCTTTCCCCCGCACACTCCCCTTGTATCTGGCTCGAATCCCATCACTGTCAAAACCTTTTGCTCTTTTCATAAAGCACTAAAACCAATTTTTAGCTGATTGAAAGTGTCTATAAACAGTAAGAAGTTAAATAGGGCTTCTGGAAATGGCAAAAGACCTTCAGAAGATCTTCAGAACCTCTTTGATAATGTATTATATTCAAAATTATGAACCTTATCAGGATCCTCAAGCCCTCAGCCATCCGTCGATCGATTTGGCTAAAAATTTGCGGGCAGAAACTAGAAGAAAAATGATAGATTCTCTCAAACTTAAGTTTTTGTAGAAATTTTTCAAAAGGAACTCCTTACACTTTGATTTTTATGGGTTTTTATTCAATGTTTTTCCATCAAAAATTGGTTAAAATGTAAGGAGTTCTTGAAAATTTTTCATCATTGAAAAAATCATAATTTCTCTCGAAAACCAGGATCTCTCGATCCTTTGGGAACGCCCCTTTGCAAAAAAGATGATGATGGTTCTTTCAAACTACAAGATTGTCAATTTTGCGATCATTTTCAAATACAATTTATTTCGATTGCTGATTTAACTAAACAATTATTAGAGAAACGTTTATAATGCGTTTCCTTTTGTCTATGTTGCTCTTGGTGGCGCTTTTAGCAGTTTCGAACGAGGCTACAAAGGTCAGATTTTCCCTGTAATATTCTCGACATGACTATTTCAGCGAGTCAATCGGCAGGTCGCTGCCTGCATGTTGCCTCGAGAGACTGGACCGTGCAGGTAGGCACTGGATTGAAACTAAATTCGGCGTGAAAATAATGAATTCATGCCTTGTTTCATTGTGTTTAGCCAGGTTTACTTAAACAAACTGATCACAAGATAAATCAAAAGCTTTTGAAGTCAGAGAATAAATTTTCTAACTCTACTGCCAATTAAACAACTAATATTAGGTTGAGTAAAAATTCTTGATAAACTCTGTTGTTTTTTTGTTTCATCAAAGAGCAAACCATAGCTTGTTATAAATTTTGAATGATAATTAGACGGCTCAGCTTTGGGCAAAGTTTCATCCCGATCTAATGGCTGAGCTTCAAGCAGGAGGCTTTTGTTTGCAATTCGCCGATTTGGACCATAAGCTTCTGGGAACCAAAATATTTTATTTAGATGTTGATAAGACATACTGGCAAAAAACTTTCTAAATTGGATTCTTTTCTGAAAAATTTCTAGAGAGTCTATTTTGCAAGTGACTTTTTTCGCTTTTATTCATAGCTCAGCTTTCATTCATCAAAACAGGACAAAAACTTGCTGCCTAATAGATAATCGAATGCTAACAATGTTTCGAAAGTTCCAGAAAAACAGTTTAGTTTAATCTTTAAGAAATCTACTAAAAAACTCTTGATATTTTAAAACAAGATCAATTCAACTAGATGATTGGCTCGTGAACATATTTGGGCTAGTTAATCTTTTAACATTTTTACATGTTTAGAGCCGCATTTCCTCGCTTCTACTTCGATCTGAAGAGTGGCGAATGCAAGCGATTTATCTACGGAGGTTGTAACGGAAATGATAACAACTTCACTGATGAGGCTGAGTGCAAAAAGGCTTGTGTCAAAAAATGAGTCGCTAAGTATTCTGAATAAATGTGCTTTTGCCAAAACGCAACAATCACTTCTAATGAGAACATACAAATTCTTAATTGGCATCAACTTTCAAAAGGGTTTAAGTTATTTGAAGGTTACTTGTTAGTTTCATGTATTTGCAATTTTATAATGATGATGATCGATGATCACTAATAATCACCCATCGATGATGATCACTAATGAGCCCGAGTTTTTCGAGAAACGAGAAAAAGATGATCTGGTGGATTCATGATGAAAAGCACAGAAAAGCAACTTTTATTTAGGATTTAGTATTCTTTATTGTTTTATAACTGTCTGATTATTATTTTTGCATTACAAACTAGGCAATAAGTCAATAAATTATCACTTTTCCCCGATTCAATAAAAAACACACAGAATTTTATCATAAAAAACAATCGGCAACAAAATGTACAGATTTATATTAGCTCGGTGTAGGCGGGTGGCGGTGTTTCCTGAAACTTTTCATCATTGAATACTTTAAGTTATGTTTGCTGATAGCTATAGAAGAACTTATTTGATTTTTAGCATTGATTGAATAGCTATGGAAGAACTTATTTGTCTAACTTGATAGTAGTAGCATTTCGTTCTTATTTCAAAGCTTTCATTCATTTCATTCATTACCGCAATCTTTCTCTCTGCATTCACTATTCTCGCTTCCCATCGCTCATCTTTTTCCATTTGAAGATCTCTGAAAAGGATTTTTAGCCAAAATCTATTGAAATCACAATTTTTCTTTATTCATTTACCTAACGTATGTATAAAATGAATAAGTCAGCTGAAACATCCAAATAAAGTAGACTAACAACACAACCATATTGATAACAAGATCTAAATTGCTTTTGAGATCTTCCCTGAAATGGCTAAATGGATAAAATTCGCTCACCATTAATTTTTATCTCTTCGATTTTACTCTCTTTCGAGTAAAGGATCAATAAGATATTTAGAATAAAGTCGGGCAATTTGTTCCTAAAAAATTTGCTTGCTATTTTACGGTATGAAAAAACAGTTATCTATGATTTAGATCTACCGTAAATACTGTAATAGTACCCGCCCCCATAATGACGGTGCGGAGTGTTGGGTAGTCTAGCTTTGAACGAGTTTTCCTCGACACTGGTTTATGCTACAATGCGCGCTTAGGTATCAAAAAATAGCCCTGAATTTCAGCTTTCATTTAATACTTAAACGAACACTGTAGCATAAACGGGTGGCAAGAAAAATGCGTTTAAAGCTAGACTACGCGATGCTCCGATTTTTTGGAGTGGTTTACAACATGGCAAGGATGAAAGAGGAAAAAAAAGCTGGATATTTTAGAGTGCTGAATTTGAAAGCTTTCACAAAAACTCTAGCCTCGTTTCGATTCGAGCTATTCATTTAAACTCTAACAACTCAAAAGTCGAACCCTAATTACCCTAGTTTGCTATCTTTATCAATAACATACCGTAAATACTGTAATAGTTCCCCACCCCCATAATGACGGTGCGGAGTGTTGTGTAGTCTAGCTTATGCTACAATGTGCGCTTAGGTATCAAGAAATAGCTGAAATTCAGGGCTATTTTTTGATATCAAAGACGCATTTTTTAAAAGTACGGGCGCTTTGAAAAAAATGAAATACTAAAAAACTTTTGCGACTACGCGACTCTACGAGAGCGGTGAGGTACTATTACAGTATTTACGGTAGATATCTTTTAGCAAATCTCACGGTGAAGTGACGAGCATGAATAACACGAAAACGTTGAAACTGGTGAGGATAGTGCCCCAAAATACCTGAGATTTCATGTTCTTAAAATAAATTAACCATCAGATTATCAGATTTTTGTTTATTATATTCTTTTTCACTCACCAAATGAATCCAGTAAATTTGCGCGAAGAACGGCTTGAGAGTGTGTGCGGCAAGGAATCTCAAGATTAGCTCCATAAAGAAAACGATCAGCAAAAAGGTTTTAACCTGAAAAAGCCTGATATAACAGTTAACTTATTAGCAAAACTAGAATCTTTATAAGCTTTTTCAGTTTTTTTTCAGTAAAACTCACCCCTAGAGTGAAATAATCACTTTGTTTCCGATCTAATGCATCGCAAAAGCTTGCCACAAATTTCACATAGAACACCAATTGATAAATACAAGCGAAAGTCAGTAAGATGTTTAACAAGCGGAAGCCGAACTGAAAGTGAAGGAGCAATTTTGGGTCTGAGCTTGATTAAAACTAAATCTGGATTGTTTAGAACTAGGTTTATGTTAGGTTGGCAAGAAAGTTCGTAGGAAAAGTTTGCAGGGTGATTTCCCAAAAACCAAGCCATCAATTCTTCCCAGATTTTTTTGATAAACTTGACTATATTTCAAAAAGTTTTTGACGAAAGAATCAGAGTGGGTTTCAGATAAAAAATAAGAGATTTCTTCAGCTGAAGTGACTTGGTCACTTTTTGAGTGACCAGCCTTTAGACAAGCTTTTAATGGTTTAACGGATAGGCAATGGGTCTCATTAAAAACCTAAAATCAAGTACTTAAAATAGGGAAAATTTGTGATTAAGGCTAATTTGATCTAACGCTTTAACCTTTCAGAATCACCTATTTTAGCAGTATCAAGAAGATGACACCAGAAAAATTATTTTTATGAAATACAGCTTCTATGCAAAAGATTTTTGGCCAAACATAGAGATTATAGAGCGTATTGCTCATTTATGATAGCTTTAGCTCATAAGGAATCGTTTTTCTGGTGCAAAAAATGTGAGCTGAATTTAAGCTGGAAAATAATAATTTTTCAAAAATCTCTAAAATTTTACAGGAAAGCCGCACTCATTTTTTACAAGTAATTTCTTGGAGTAGACTTGTCAATAATAGAACAAAGTGTTCTTGAATTAGTGGATTCGTTTTTAAGAAATTTCAGACAACCTTTTTCTACGAACTTTCTTTCCAAACTAATATAACAAGGGAATGGTCTCAGCTCGAAGTTGAGAATCGATTCGAGCCAGAGGATTGCCATTTCTCTCGTTGCTGAATCAGGAATGCTCAAAACGTAAATTTGCCAAATCTAACCAGAGCCCGTATGCTCCATTTTCGGATGAAACGTGTCCGCTAAGGCTAAGCCTACAATGAGAACTTGGACAAGCCAGGCCTGGGCTGGTAGCTGGCTAGTTCAGTGCCAGGCCAAGTCCAGTTCAGGTTTTGACCTAGCACTGAACAAGTTTACTTTGGTATTTGTAAACTTGAACATTTACTATTTTAATACTTTAATTCATTACCAAAGAAGTCATGCATCCACAACAACATCGATAATCTCGAGAATAAACTGGTGTTGGAGCTTTCCCCTTTGGATGCCATCCGGGCAGCCACATTCGAGAAAATTTCATTGCTTCAAACTGCTGTAAAGTTCTGAAATCAAATAAAGAAATGATCCTAAAGATTTTAGAAAAGCTTACTATTAGTAATCAATCTCAAATGTCACAGGATAATCAAAGAAATATGACTCATAAATTGTGCACAGAAATAATGAAAGTTTAACAAAATGCATCAGTGTTTTCAATTTTTGAAATCAATACTTGTGCAAGAAAATGCCGATTTGAGAAAGAAAAGGCGATTGGATGGGAAAAGAAAGCTTCAAGATTGATGCAACAAGTCGACAAATGAGTTTGACCGGTGATTCAAACAAATCGTAAATGATACAAACATTCGAATTGCCTTTCTTAAAAGTTTCGACCATTTTTTTGACTATTTTTCCCAAATCTCAAGCCGTATCAGTTGATTTTTCTTCTTTTTCAAGTGAAAGAGCCAAATTAATGACTCATCTTTCCACTAATCAACCTTTTTCTTTTGAAACAAAAGCTTTGAAATGAACAGAGAAAAGGTTGCAAAAAGTTGTTGTTTAACTTTAGCTTTAATAGTTTTAATAGTCAACTATAATAAATATAAACTGAGACTTGTTTCCTGGGACTATAAACAGATGGACTAAATGAAAAAATATTACTATTTTACCGATTTTGTAAAGAAAGAAAGAAAGAAAGAAAGAAAGAAAGAAAGGAAGTTCTTGTAAAGTTTGTTACAAGGCTTTTGAGTGCTCAATTCGAGTCTGGCTTCAGTGTTTTACCACAGTAAATTTGAAAATTGAAATCAAAAGTGGACAGAAGAACAAATTAGCTCAATTCAATTAGCAATAAAAGCAACGTTGTGTGCTTTTCCTGAAGAACTCAAAACAAGGATAAAATTTTCAAGGATAACAAACTTTTCGCAAGCATTTTAACAACAAAAAAAATTAGTAAAAAGTTTTTTCCGTTAATAAATAAGTGCTCATCTTTTCTGCTTTTTTCGAATGAAATTCGCTTTTTCTTGCTTCACAAATTTCACTCCGAGTTCAAAGAACGATCAAAGTGGGCTAATCATTTATCAAAAGGGCTTTGATTTGTACTAAATGTTAAAGAAAAAGACAGTAAAACTGAGCATTAAAGAGATCACAAGTATTACAGACTTTGTATCACAAAAGCTTTCAATTTGTTAGAAGATCTATGGTGAATATGGTGGCGGGGCCATCTCGTCCTCTTGCTTCTGAAAAAGGTCTCAATTTGTTTTGGAAATCTTTCTGAAATTCCAAGTTTTGTAATGAATAACGTTTTTGTTTTGAGTTTTCAAAGTTAAGTTGTCATTAAAATCTAACCACAAGTTGTCGTTTCGTTTCAACTTGTTGTTGCTGAGTTTCCCATCGTTCTTCGATCTCGAGTTGACGATCTCTGGAATCAAGTTAGGCATGAAAACTGCATAGATTCCCGGATATTATACTGGAATGCCTAAAACGAGCCCACTTACTGACTGTTCTTTTTGTCCAATCAAAGGGAAAATTTTCTTTATTCAATAGAAGCAAGTCAAACAAGCAAGTCACTGGATACCTTATGTAGCAATAGAAAGAGTAGGTGAGTTGAGTCTGCCAGATCACATAGACGATGTACAGAACACCGAATACGAAATGCCCTGAAATTCAGCTTCATTACAGTAACAGTTTCCTAAAGTTCCCACATTATCCCTTACTTTTCTCTTCCCTGAACTGCTTCACGTACTCTTGATGATTGTCGCTGAAACCGTAATCGTTCACGTTTCTGAAATTTGATAAGCTTTAGAATATGTTAATTTAAACTTTGAATATTATGGCTATCTTACAATAGCCTTAGAATTACAGTCGAACTTCGATATAATGTATACTTCAATCTAATGAACCCTAAATTCGGTCCCGGCCAAACACTTAATAAAATGTCAAGAAACAACCTTTGATAAAACGAACTTCGATACAATGAACACTTTTTGGATAGGTTACCGTATATTTCATTTCCATAACGAATTATTTGCTAAAATATGGGCAAAGCAAAATGGATTTCTGCTTTTTTGACTGGATTTCTAATTTTTTTTTACTTAATTTGAAATGCTTTACAATTAGCTTGCTTAGTTCTTGTAACGTTTTTTATCTTAAGTTTACCTTAAGGTTTCTTTTTTATTTTTTTTATTTTTGAGAACATTCTCATATTTTAGGTGATGGAGCGAGGAAAGGCAACGCGTCGATCAATAGATTTGGCTTTAAAGAAGCGTCGTTCAATCGACCTTGAAAAGAACGCCTGAATTGGCGAAGGACTTCGAATTGCCGCAATCAACAAGAAATTCTTTCAAGAATTCTTAGGAAAAGGTCGATCACGGATTATGGAAGCAAACAATGAAGGAGTAGCCGCTAAAAGAATACGATTGAAAGATTGAAGACAAGCAAATACGAATCAATCGAAGAGTCTGTGTCTATTTGGCTGAAGAAAATGCAAATGGTGAAGCAAATGCAAAGCCAAAACGAATGTGTTGACGGTGATCTGCTTCGAGAGAAAGCGATGGAGTTGGTAAACTTGGAAGGAATTAGCGATTTTCAAGCGAGTGGCGGTTGACTGGATAAATTCAAGAAGTGTCACAGAGTTGCTTTGTTTGTTGCTGTTGTTGTTTTGTGCTCCAATTTGTTGTTGCTAACTTGTTTTCAAAGAAACTTGTTATAAAAACTCCTATATCGCGAATTGGTCAAAGAACCAATAGTTATTTGTTTCTATACAACGAGTTTTGATATAACAAACTCTTCGGCCGGTCCTTTGCAGTTCATTGTATCGAAATTCGACTGTTGTATTAATTTTAGTTTTCTTACGTTGCAGTGAACATCAAAACCGATCCCAAAGCACTCGCGCCACCCAAAAATGTCACCAAGAAAGCCTAAAGATTTTCAATTTGCAGATTTTGGGAAAAGAGTTCTAAACAGCTACAAAATAATTCTAAACTTACAAAATAAATCCAATAAATTTGGGCATAGAATGGCCGGAGAGTGTGTGCGGCAAGAAATCTCACGAAAATTTCGAAAAGCTTCACGACTAAGAAGAGTGACTGAAAAGGTTTCCTTAAATCAAGCTTTTCATTTCTTCAAATTTGATTCTTTTTGCAACACCTTGCTTATTGTTGATCTAGGATTTCAAATCAAAACGTACCGTTAATCCAAACGATGCCTGTCCAAAGGTGACGATGAAGTTGAGCAATGCGAAACCCCAAGCAGCCACAAGGACAAAGTTGAGAATGCGGAAACCAAGCTGAAATTAGATTTAAACAAATTGATTGTCAGCTAAAAGTTTATGAGAACAAGAACTTTTAACAACAAAGCCTTTTAACAACAAAAATTATTAAAAAGTCTTTTCCTTAATCAATAAGTGCTCATCTTTTCTGTTTTTTTGAATGAAATCCTTTTTTTCACTCAAAGTCACCCAAAGATCAGATTCTAGAATGTTTCTCAATCAATTAGCCAATTGTAAGAATATTTGAATATCTATTATCTATTTGAATATCTATTATCTATCTATTATATTTGAATATCTATTATTTAGAATATCTATTATCTATTATCTATTATCTTGCTTGCTTTGTGGCACTCACCAATGAATTCATGCACCCACAACAGCATCGATAATCTTTCACTTCGACACTCAATGGTGCTCGGACTCGAGGATGCCACAACCACAACCACATCTTCATTTTGAAACAAAGAAAAGAGAATTTGAATGAAATTGAGTGCTAAAATACTGTTAGAATAAGAGATTTAAAGACTGAAACATTTGTAAGCATTTGATCAGAAAATTAACAAATTTTAACAAGTTACAGCTAAAATAAATTGATTTTATTCGACGAAAAATCAATAGAGTTTTTTTTGATCAATAGAGAATCAATAGATCAATAGAGATCAATAGAGTGTTATAAAGAATGATATTAAAATTAAAACTTGGCTTGCTTTACCTAAAAAATGTTTGCCATCCTTAAAATCCTCTTATCAAATTGAGTTTTCATTGTTTCTTTTTTCTTTTCCCGGAATCGAGCGCTTTTTTTTAGTTGATTCAGCTCATCAAACATGTTTTTTTGTTAGTTTTTTTTGTCAATGAATAGAAATCGAGCAAGTTTAGAATTTCAAAAAAGAAAAAAATAAAATATATAAACTTTTTGCCTAAAAAAAATCAGAAATGAAATTGCGAACCGTTTTCTATTTTGATTCGATTGATTTTTGATGGAAAGGATGAGAAAAGAAATGAAAAAAGAAAAAAAAGGCAAAAATAAACGCTGAGTAATGGACAATGTTGAGTATTTTGTGTTCTGTTGAGGGTGTTTACTCTTCTAACCACATTTTCTATCTTGAAACATTTATAAAATTTATTTAAAGTTTAAATGACTGTTAAAATTGTAAAAATTGAAAGGATAAACGGGAAAATTTACCTCTCAAACTCCGTTCCGTGTATTGAAATTCATATTTAGTAAAATGTAGTAAATTTATCAACAATTCATACTTAAGTTTGACTCATTTAAACTAGGCGCTAGTCCATTTACTTTCGAATTCGAAATCGGACAGAGACGGAAATCGAGGACCTCTTGGGGCCGCTCGCATCGACGGGATTTCAAGGACATCGAGGAATTGATGATCAAGAAAATGATGAATTCATTGAGTGATGACTGACTATTGATTTCGCTTGTTAGTTGTTTTTGTTTCGTTTTGCTGTTAAATTTTCAAATGGCTGAAACCAATAAAAACTAAAGAAAAAGTTTGCTTTTAAACCGATTATTTGGATGTATCCTGATTTGGTAACTCGAATAGTGGTGTAAAATAGTAACCCACCCTCTAATAGTGCCCCACCCTAGAGGGGGAGGGAAAAAATAGTACTCCATGGGGTCCAATTACAGTATTTACGGTAGTATTATATTTGACTAGCAAAATGCCAGCAGTTAACCCCCTGCTAAACTGCTGATCCATTTACTTTCGAATTCAATTTGCCAAACGATGAATCATTTGTACTTTCAAATTAGACACAAGATACAAACAGAAATATTCTCAGAGAAACCTATCCCAAAGCCTAAAACAAAAACAAAAATCTCTACTATATATAAAAAAATAATCTCTGTCCGTCTGTGTGAGCACTACGGGCGTTTTGAGTATTTTAAAAAACGCTGACTAATGAAATTTCATATAGTTTTGCCCTTTAAAAAATTCTTGCAAAAAGTCAAAGCAGGTGGGTGCAATTTGCATTTTACGCTGAAATTTGCATGGTGGGGTTTTCCCACACAGGGAATTCATTTCTGGCAATCATTTTTACAATTTCTGTAATCTAGTGATATCAAAAGCTAAGCATGTCTGTTCTTCCTGTCAACAGACAGACAACTTCTTGAAAATATGCATTTAATTTCATTTAGCCTGTACAGAAGCAATTACAATTCTGAGTTCCAGGTACTTATTGATTAGTTATGAAAAATTTTTATCGAAACCTTTGGTCTAGCTGAGATTTATGGCTGAATGATGAGGTTCTGAATCGGCATTTCGCATTTCGGGTTGGTGCGAGGAGACGGCAAGGGAAAATGCTCGTTTGGAATGAGTGCCGATGATCGAAACGTCATTCGAATGAACCAAAAGCCGAGAGAATGGCTTCAATTGGTCTACAACTATTTTGTCTCAAGTGTCTCACCATTTAAAGTTTACAATTGCACGTTTAACGAGGACAGTGGATTACTCAAAAAAAATTGATAGTGCTTTGTAAGATTTTTGGTAGCTATTGTGCACCCGACAAGTAAAATATTGTGTGAGAATTTGGGATGTTTTAAAAGTTTCTGGTTCACTTATACTTTCCCAAATAAAGATCAGATCACAGACCACATAGCTATTAAGCAAGGTGGAATCGCCTTTCTGTAGCGTTTACATTTCCTACTCAAAAATGCCAGCCGCTAGACAAATGTTTTCCCTTCCCCATAGCGATACGGATCTCGAATTTCCCTTAAGATTGATTCGATCGTTTCGTCTTTGGCATTCAAGTGAAAGTTTTTCTTTCACAATGCTATTTTTCCTTATTTTCTTGATTTCCTATGTTGATTCTCAAAATTTTGTTGGTTATCCAAGGGTGAATAAGGTGCCAGGTAAATACTTTTCCAAGTTTTCTGAAAACTTTTCTAGAAGTTGTTCTAATTGAGAGGATCTCGCCTCGAGCCGCTTGGGAACAGCCGAATTCGGTTAAGGATTTTGAATGAAATTCAGAGGACCATTTTAGAATGTCAACAAAATGGGCTTAGCTTATTGTCAAATCCCGAAAAACGCGGCGACGATCATGAAGATTCTCCTGTGTGATCTTTATCGATATTTTAAGAGAATTCCCTTTAAAATTCAAGTCGGCAAGGATAAAAGTCTGAGGTGAGAAGTCAATTCAATATATATTTCTTCTTTTAACCATTTGTCATAGAGAAATCATAGAGAAAAGAGAAAATAGAAAGATTCATAGAAAAAAAACCATGTGGATCTAATAATAGATGTACTTTAGCATACTTTTGACTAGTATTAGCTAGTATTGGCTACACAAAAAGTTTAGCGAATGCGAGCTGAGTCAATGGTACAAGAACTTGATCAACACGACTGATACGACCGAGGCTTGGTCACCAAATGTGAATGAGACAAAAATGGCGATTGGTCGGCATCCGGTTAAACGATTTCTCTCACTTTATGGATATCTATGCGAGTGGGTTGCACTTTTTGCTATTTACGACTAGGAGGTAGCTAAAAAGATTCTGCATTTTCTCACTCCAACGTTTTAACTTGTTTCTTTTCCGAAGCCTGATTCACAAATGTTCTATAGACAAGCCCGTTTGTGTGGAACACCAACAAGTATCACCAAATTCACAAAAGATGTCTACACTTTGTTGAAAACAAATTCGACTGTTGGCACGGGCTTTTCCGAGAAAGATCGCGAGATTGTCATCTATCATTCTCAGCCACAAACTTGGTAATGTTAAGTTGAGTTGCAAGTCTAGGTCAGTTTCTGGTTGCTGCTGTTGTTGCTAATGCAAGCAATTGATTGCTTTCCATCCTTATTGTTAAACTTATAGCTTTGCAAGTAAGCTACTATGTCTCTGGAATCTCAGTTACCCAAGCTTAAAAACTCTTCTTAAAATTTCACAATTTTTTCGGTTCTGCAACATTTTGGCTGAAGTCAAAAACTTTCACTTCATCCATCATGGCTCTGATCGAATGGCGATGAAAAACGAGCTAGAAACCGTTTTTGATATGGCGAGAGTTCCAAGAAATTGCTCAGAGCCGGTAGAAAAGTTCAGAGTTTAAATTATTCTAAGATTCAGGTATTGAATCATATTCTTTATTCGGATACCGTCCACGCGAATCAGGACAAACGACACACGAAGGCAGTGGCTTGGCTATTAGAGAACAACCCGCAAACGATGGCTTATTTCAATGCCATCTATTATGATGATTTTGCTTTGCTTGGTTACCAAAAATAAACAAAATTCGTTTATTATTTAGTTTTAGACATTTTATAAACATTATTGTTTCAGATCGATTTTTTAGAAGAATTTTAAGGATAGGTTTCTGATGGATTTTTACTTCAATTTTTTTGAATAAAGAGTAAGTCACAGGCAGCTATTAGCCAGTTTACATTTAAATTCCCTGCATTCTCTTTTAAAATTAAAGTTTAAAAGGGTACTAACTTTTCCTAGTATTATATTTGACTAGCAAAATGCCAGCCGCTAGACAAATGCTGCCAAATCGGCCAGCAGTTAACCTCCGTCTAAACTGCTGATCCATTGACTTTTGGATTCAATTTGCCAAACGATGAATCATTTGTACTTTCAAATTAGACAAAAGATACAAATTAAAGTTTATTTCATTCCAAAGCCTAAAACAAAAAAAAAGATGTTAAAAACTAAGCATGTCTTTTCTTTGCTTGTCCTTTATCATAAGCTAATCCAGATGGTGGTTGGGGAAAAGGTTCTGAGAAATATCCGGAATATTCGTTGATTCTTGATTTGAATTGTATTGCGATGTCTCAATTTGTGGCTGTGGTTCGGGTCCATAGCCAGATGGAGCTGGAGCTGGAGCTGGGCGGACAACTTCCTAAAAATACGCATTTAATTTCATTTCGTCTGTACAAAAACAATAACAGTTCTCAGTTCCAGGTACTTATTTATTAGTTATGATCAATTTTTCTACAAACCTTTGGTCTAGCTGAGATGTAAGGAGGCCAAAACACGATTTTCTTTCCGGGATAAGAATATTCAGCGGTGGTACGGAAAACGGGCTGAAGAGGAACCGGACGACCACCAAATCCTGAAAGGAAAAGGAAAATAATAAAATTTGTTGGGTTTTAGTATTTACTTGATATCAGTTAGATTTGATTTAAACCATGCGGTAATTTAAATTTTAAATCTTATCAATTTATTATAGTTTAGGATAGGGTTTCAATAGGATTTGTTTCTGTATTGTGAATGATTGCTTGAATTGGTTGAATAAACCAGTCTATACTTGAATACTTTTTGCTGTAAACCTCCTACTTTTTGCCATTTGCATCATGCCAAGCATCTGCATTTGTTGATAGTAGCTCATTCCTGAAAAAATATTCGAAACTAAACTTGCAATAAGTCAATGAGAGTACAAATCATGATTTAGTAACAAACCTTGGCCTGCATCAAATGCATCATAGCCATCGTTTGCATTTGTTGCTGTTGATTACCTAAAAGATCATCATCGATTTCTTAGTTTCAATTAAAATCAAATTTCCAAAATACTCTGGGTATCGTATTTTGAAAATTTCACCCGATCCAAGAGAATTTAATCCACCAAAACCGAGCGCTTGCATCATTAATTGTTGAGTGAAAAGATTTGTGGGAATCGCTGGTTGTTGTTCGGGGACAACCACGACTACTTGGGGAGCCGGACAATCTGAAATTCAGTGAACAAAGTGACTTCAATTGCATGCTTTACCTGGGCATTTCTGCACAATTTGTACAGGTGTTGGTGGTGGAGGCTGAGGGAGCTGGTGGGGCCTAGATTTCATTTACGAGGGAATGGTACTTAGGTCACCCTTTTACAAATGAGACCTAGCCTATCCGATGCAGTTTTTTACGCTGGTTTCGAATCCGGTTTTAATTTTCGTATTGGAAATGGAAAAGATGTGACAAAAACTCTGTCTAAAATCAAAAATTGTTTTGAAAAAATAAAAGTAAAAAGTTTTGTCATTTAAATGATTCGAACTCACGGTAAAAGATCTTTGATAAAACAGTACTACTATCCATTATACCAAGATCACTTTTGAAAGACTCCCACAAGATGGCCTTAAATGGGCTTGGCTAAAACTTGTTTGTTTTTTGTTGTTTTTGTATTCTTGTTTTTTATTCGGATGTGTTCTGCAAAAACGAAAACCGGATTCGAAGCTAACATAAAAAACTGCATCGGATAGGCTAGTTCTGATTCGGAAAGGGGAAACCTAATATCATTCCCTCTTTAGGAAAAATCTGCAATACGCTGATTTATATTTGAAACAAAAAGTCAATGATG